CAGGAATTTCACAGCAGAACAAACGAGAAAGGGTAAGGAAACCGCTCTGAGCATTGGGACTGCATCGCTTTTAGCCAGGTATAAGTGATCAGCAATTTCACCTCTGAAAACCCAATACAAGGTTGTTTCTACACGCATTTCCAAAGGAGAGGGGAAATAATACATTTCGAAGAGGACTGAGGATGATTGCAGTAATTTAAGGAGTGATACAGATTTTCTGGCTTTGGGCAAGTCACTCAATGTCCCTGGTCCGTGTGCTGTTCATCCACTGCCACAAAGTCACTGCAAGGACCCAGGCACTTCCTAGAGAGCCACAGGTCTCTGCTGGGGAGTAAATCATGGGAAAAGTTGGAAGTAACAACATTAGCAAAACCCTACATAAACACCCATGTGAAAATACATGTCTGTGTCTGTGTCTGTGTCTGTGTCTATGTCTATATGTCTATGTCTATGTCTGTGTCTATGTCTATGTCTATGTCTATGTCTATTAAACATCCCTCAGATCCCTGCTGTACGCCAGTGAAAAATACATGAGATTCTACATGACTTTAAGCAGCCAACAGTCCTCCTTCTCCTTGAAACTCTCTAATCTGATGTGATTTAACAAACTCAGAGCTACTTGGAAAACTGAAAGAAAACTCAGCTCTAGAACTATAAAGCATTGTTATTTAGGCCTTTGGCATCAGCTGCTAAAATCAGGTGGGAAAGATTGTTGTAAAGGTACTTAACTGGCAAACCTGGCACCAGTGAGTTCAGAAAAGAGAACTTTTCCAAAATACCAGCGTTATTATGAGCTTATGTTAAGAGGGGATATATACAAAAGAATGTAAGGGGTTTTTTTTAATCTTGCAGGAGTGGAAAACAAGTGAAATTACACTGAATTAATTAATGCATTCAGGTAAAAACAAACTATCTTCCTTAAAAATTCTGCTACTCCAGTGAAGATCCCCTTATTGCTGGGGCCAAAGAGCTACTGATACCCAGCTCGATCAATGCCAATTCAGCGAACTTTGCCGTAAACCTTTCTAAGCAATGTACACAGTCCTAGTGGAAATACAGACCCATTTCATCTGCAATTGTTCAATTCTGTGCCTCTCATATTAACAGGACCACATATGGGAGCCCACATATGACCCAGCAGGAAGCTGCCTTGAAGACAGGCCAAGATATTAAACATATATGTTTAATATGTATATATTTATGTATATAAATCTTAGTGGCATTGCCTCACAACATATTCCTGCTTCTTTAAACTATTCACTACTGGTGCATCATTCCCTGTGTCTACACTGCTGAATAACTCAGCATTTGGATTCAGCTGGAGACCACGTCTCCCAGTCATTGACTTTACATCTGGATGCAAACTGTGCCAGAGGATTTCAAGTACATGGTGTTGACAGTCTATTTGTACAGCTGCTGGCAGGGAAAAGTCATTTGCCTCACAGAAATGTTCCTGTAAGAACAGGGTGGCTTCAAAACAAAGGCAGGTGGCTTAAAACCAAAATCAGTTCTACCCATTTCCTTATCTATGAAATGGGCTTAACTGCGTATTTTTACTACACAGAAACAGCCTGAGCCTTAGGTTTTATTGTCTGCAAATCCAAACTGGAAATAATGCTATAAAGACACCACCTACTGAGTTGTTATCATTTCTGAATGATTTCCCAACAGGTTTTGCTCACTGTCACCAGTGTATTTGTCGAGTGACTCAGTAATATGCAGAGGGCGAGATGGTTAAAGCCACTTGGCTGGTAAATGGCTACTAATGCAGGTAACTGGGCCCAGTGCCCACACTCTTGATCTCAGGATGCCTCTTTGTGGTCTCTGGCATCTTAAAATCTTAATATCTTAAACTAAAATAACTCAGTAGTTGGGTTCTGCTGGAGATCTGCTCTCCATATCCCTGACCATGTGTACACCTAAAGTCTTCTGGTCTTCTCCAAGGGAGGCCAGAAGCAAGGAAACTTGCTCCACCTGCACCAAACATAAGAGGACGCAATCCTCATAATATTTCAGGTACTTTGG